TATAATATATAATATATATATATATATATATATATATATATACATAAAACCGTCTGATAAAAACCGCTTTAATAGAATTTGAAAAAGATATTGAAAATGCGCGAAAATTTTTTCCTGTAAATAAGCGTTGTGCCTGCGCACTTAGTCAAACAAAAAGAATTCTTATTAAATTTCTTGTACGATTTCTTTTTAACTTTACATAATTTGACAACTCGAATATACATTTCGAGTATATTTTATCTTCTTTTTCAACGTATATTGTAGAAAAAGAAAATGTTTCCAAAGCTTCAAGTTATATTAATATGCGGTAAATAGAGAGAATAAACATCTAACTTTTAAGTTTTTTATTTTGTTTTAAGAATCTTCTCATATATACGTATACATTTTTTCTATAGGGGAAAAAATATGTGATGTACTTAAAATTTTTTTATCCTTATATAAAAAATATTTCAAAAAAATTAAAATTTCATATTGTTATTACGTGAAATTATCAGTTGGTGATATAAACTTATATTTTTAAAGAATTTGTATTCAATAAGTTAAAAAAGTTATTATTTCAAAAGATTACACAATATATTTTATTAAAATTTACATAAAATTGTTCCATTAAAAACATAGTACAAGTTAAAGTACAAAAGTAATAAAGAATAGAATATCATTTATAATGTTTTCTTTTATATATTTAGGTGTTTTCATTTGTAATTTCTGAATTTTGAGAAATTTTTAAAATTGTTTCAAAATTAACTAATTCTCTATGATCTTCTAGCATTTGTACATAAAATGGTTCATTTAACATATGACTTGAGGCAGCAATAAAATTTACGATTAATTTTTTCATCATATTAATTTTTTCTATTGTTTTATTTATTGTTTCTTTGTTACTAAAAAAAAATTGAATAGAATATAAAGAATTAAAATCTTACTGATATATTGTTGCACAGATATACTTACATTGCATGCTGAGGATTTGTTTCTTCTAATCTTTTGTTGCGTAATTCCTCCTGTTCCTTTAAAAAATCTTTATATTCAAATAATGCATTTCGACATTGAATTTTTAATTCCAATTGCTTTTTTAATGCATTATCTATTTCTTTTTCTATAGACAAAATATTATCATTCAAAACAAAAAGTTTACACATACATGCATAAATTTTTCTGAAAAGATAATAAAACTATTAAATATTTTTTTTTTTTCTAAAATTTTAAGATTTAAATTATTTGATTTTTCATACTTTTGCATATCATGATCACCTTCTTCACCTCTTAAAATAGCTTGTATACCATACGAATGCAGACATAATTTAATTGCTGCATTATTTATAAGAGAATTTGCTGTTGCTTCATGTAAATTTGTTACTATATTTTCTGTATCTTCTTCCAACTCTTCATTTCTTTCTAAAATCATATTGAAAAATGTTTATATAATCATAATTTGTTTTGTATATAATACTTCTATAACATACTGTATTCATTCTGTGCTTTAAGTAATAATAATTTGGCATTTAAATGTTTCAATGACTCTCGAGTAGTTCTAATTTTTTCTTCAATTGGTTTAAAATCTTCTATAGAGACTGCTCCAATTGGAAAATTACAAATATTTTTACTCAGGCATGCAATAGCTTGCATTAAATCTTCATATTTAGACATTTTGTATATTTATAATGCTGTTATAATTATATTAGTTGATTACAAATTATAATAGTTGAAGAAATTCTTAGTTTAATTTTTATTCTTATTTTATGTGATTGGATTATTAAATTCATAGTAAGTTTATAATAAGAAAAAAAAACTTTTATTTTGTTAATATTTTTATCTTTGAAAAGATTTATACTTTTTCTTAAAAATTTATTTTCTTTCTTTTATATTTAATTATATTTTTTACGTAAATTATTGAAAGGAATTGCATAACCAAGGAAGAAAAAAATATATTCAATATATTTTTTCTTCTATCTCAAGGAAATCAAAACTCTTTTTCATTTTCAATGTTATTGATTCGATTTGGAATAAGATAATGTTAAGAAAAATAACAATTGTAATTAAATTTCAATATAAAATTACAAATAAAAAATATAACATTTATATTTATTTCAATTATATTTATATAAATTATTATGAAACATATAATTGTAATTTGATTTTACATTAACAATTAAGACACTTAGTAACTTTGAGAAATAAAAGTAACGAAAATATAATGCCTATGATCACGCATTAAAAATAAATATAAACAATATAAAAAAGGAAGTAGCGAAAGAACAAAAATAAGGTAAAAATATAGGAATTAGCGCCATCTTCAGAATGTGGTAAATGAAATAAATGTTATATAGAAAGGATAGCAAATAGAAAGAGAAGGATAAAGATAGAATAAGAATTGACTATTAGTGCCATCTCTTGAATGCAAAAAACAGGTAAGATATAAAATGGACATGATTACATTCAATGTTTTTTCGTATCATAGAAATTTTATTATTGATGACTCATTTACATCAAGTAATATATTTTTTTCAAAATAGATATATTTAGAATATGCTTTAATTGTCTTTTTATTAAAAAAATATATATTAATTAATTTATTATATTTAATTTATTTTATAAAATTAAATTATTTTAGAGATTCACATTTCTTTTCTAAATTTCTTTTCGATATATATTTATTTGTGTTATTTTCATTATATTTGTCTTTATCTTTTATCTATATTATGCTTGAAGCATGAAAACATTTCTTATAACCTCTTTCAAAAATTGGAAATCCGTTTTTACTTACTTACTTGGCATACATATTACATATTTCTAAGATTTTAAACTTGTTTATTGTTTTATTTTAATTTAATTTTATATATTTTAAATATTTATTTAAAAATTTTGATTTTATGTAACTTATTATTAGTCAATATATGAACATTATAAAGAATAATTGAATTGAATTTTTTGATTGATTGCAATTAGAACATGACATATTATACAGTATTTCAATTTTCGCATGGATTTGAATAAAGAATCGCGCATCTCTAACCAATCAAAAAACTACTCGGTGGCTCGGAGGCTCGGTGATGAACGAATCAATGCGCATCATAGTGCGCATCATAATATACATCATAACGCGCATGACATTAGTCTACAGTTGAAAATTGTGGTGATCGTGTTTCATGATTCAAATATATATAATTTTTATTGATAGAATATTATAATATAATTATTGAGCTTAATTATTGATTATCAAGCCTTGAATAATTAATATATATTTATTTAATCATTATTATATCAGAATTAAACGTTTTTGTGAATATTATTGTTTGATTGGAATTTTGAACACGGGATGGAAGAATGTAGTAAAAATTTTTGTATATATCGTGATAATTAGAAGATAATTCAATAATTCATGCAAATATGGTAAGATTTTATTTTTTAACGAAAACATAGTTATAAATCTCTTTTATTTATATAGTTAAATAAAAATAGTTAAATATAATTAATATTATAATAAATTCATATATATGTATATTACACACATATTCTCACATATATATATTTCTTATCTAATTACGTTATTTGTACGTTCAATTCGTGGGTTATTATTTCTGTGTTTATTTTATACTCGAAAGCCCAAAATAATTCTTATATATTATATCCTGTATAAGAATTAAACATTTTTTATATATATATCGAAATCGCGATGCGATGTATTATTCTCTTGTCAAAACTTTGTGACGGTTAGACATTTTGTTTTTTTGTGTGATCTGTCTGTTCCTTAATACTTTATTTAACAATTATTCTTTTTCTTTTATATTATTTCATTAATACGCATTTATTCAATTTATTTATTTATTGAATATTATTACAATCGATAATTCTTTGAGAAGTAATTTATTTTTTATATTCATATTTGATTATTAATTCATATATTCGTATATTAATATTAACTTGTATTATCGAACTTTTAAAATAGAATTTATATTTAATTATATTGTTAATATTGTTTTTTTTTCTTAATATTATTATACACCGAAAGAATTTATATAAAAATGAATAATTTTTTGCGTATTAAAGGAGAATGGATGAGATCCGATCGAGTGGTTAGAGTGGCTCTTCAATATTCGTAGCAATCTTCATGCGGTAAGATTTATTTTTATTTGATATATTATTTATGATTATAACATATATAATGATATATATATATATATATATATATATATATATATTTGATTTACATCATTATATTATTATTGTTTGATAATATGTGATGCAATTAAAAATTAATATAGCAAATATACACCGAAAGAATTTATATAAAAATGAATAATTTTTTGCGTATTAAAGGAGAATGGATGAGATCCGATCGAGTGGTTAGAGTGGCTCTTCAATATTCGTAGCAATCTTCATGCGGTAAGATTTATTTTTATTTGATATATTATTTATGATTATAACATATATAATGATATATATATATATATATATATATATATATATTATTTGTATTTACATCATTATATTATTATTGTTTGATAATATGTGATGCAATTAAAATTATATAGCAAATATCATGAACTAATTGACTAATTATTTGTAAAAATTTATTTTTCTATTCGTATTTAAAATGAAGATTTTAAAGTAAAGCTGTAAAGTGTAAAAATATATAAATTTTTAGCATGAAATAGATTTTTATTTTATTTTGAAAAATTGTATTTTTCGATTTAAAAATTTAATTAAGTCAAAGATTTAATCAAAATATAGTATAATATTAAAAAAGAAAGAAATAGTAAAAATTGAATCAATATTGAAAAATCTAAAAATTATAGAAAATTATTTGGCAAGTTAAATTAGATTTATAATTAAATAGGATATTTTTAAATTAGGAATTGAATTTTTTTTTAAATTATAAGATTAATAATAATAATAAAATTTATTTTACAAAAAAAATTGAAATATATAGAAATTCTATAATTTTATAATTTTTCTCAATTTTATTTATTTAAATCTGTCATTTTTTTTTTAAGTTTTATTTTAATAAAAAATGTTTGAAGAAAAATCTTTAAAATTCCATAGATGGCATTGTTCTTCAATTCTTATTCTTATGTTTTAAAAAGAGTATTTTTCATGCTCAAGAGATGGCGTTGATTGTCCATTTTTATCATATTTTTATCCTTTTCTCAATATCTTCTATCCTTTTATATATATTTGCGATATTCTGAAGATGGCGCTGATTTCAATATTTTTACTCTATGTTCTTCTTCCACTATTTCCTCTCTTTGTCTACTAATTAGATGAAAAATTTTATAACTTTTTAATAAAGAGCACTTCATATTATTTTGTAGTTTCATAGTTTCTTCATTTTAGTATTTATATTAAAGATTGTATGTTATTATGAGTGCATCATTAAATTTATTTAATAAAAATAAGTTTTATTTTTTATGTGAATAATTGAAAATTATATATTATATATGCAAATTTATATAATATTATATATATATATATATATATATATTATTTTTTTTTTAATTATACGAAACTCTTCAAGAAATAATCTGTCAAATTTAGATTCTCTTCCATTTCCATTTTTTCCAATATGCATCGATATACATGTACACTGATACCAAGAAAAAGAATTTATTACGCTGAAAATTGTAGAAGTTATAGACATCTTCATACATGCATATCTATTTTGTCAATAGATATTAAAGAGTAAGATGATTAAAAAATATTATTAAAATTAAAATATATTAACAATATTATTACCATGTAAATTAGTATACGTGTTTGATAATATAATATATGAAGAAAGTAGCTTTTTATTCAAAACATCGTTATAATAACAAGTATTATAATAATTTTATAATACTTGTATGATTATCTCGTAGAATCTTTTCAATTCTTTTGGAAGAATTTTTTAACGCCTTAACATGATTTTAAGCAATGTTGATGCTATAATTTCGAATAAATTTTCAAACATTTGAATGGAATAAATATTTGAAAAATTATTTTCATTATTTTACAAATCTTATTATCACGTTCGAAATCATCTTCGAAAAAGATTCATAAGAACGAATATCTTCACGTGTATATATATTTTTTAAAAAGTGTGATAACATCGATAAAAATGTATTATCGTATTTTGAACGTATCGAACACTGCGCTTATTATTAAATTATATCGTTATTTGACGAAATTCACGCTGAAGTGGTTATTGAGCGGTAAATATGAAAGATTACGTATATTTTAATGCGCCATTAATATATATGAAGCAAGAATAAACTTAACATTAAATTATGCATAACGTTGTTTTCAGCATGTAATTGAATATAAAAATATTCATAAATAGATTAGCGTAATATATTATGGATTAAGTGGAAAAGATTCCAAGACAGTTTCTCAATCTTTAACACAAGTCAAATCCAAGTTTTTCTCCATCATCAATTTTTCTTTTTATCTAACCTTAATAATGATTTATCGAATCCTCCATTCAATCGCTAAACTCTTGAAAAATTTCATCGATCCTTTCCAATTTTTATTCGTCGTCAGAATGTGAATCGCACCATCATTTATCCATTCTTCACTTTTATTTTGTAATTTAGAAGAATCATCACGGACAACGATACATCATCGAACGGATCAATTAATCATTACCATTCCTCGACATTAATTTACCGCAAAATGTTAGCTGATGAGCCTGTTACTTCCGAGATGTTGGTGGTCGCGTTCCTTCCTGATCGCTCGTAACAAATAATAGCGGAAACAAGGTGATCGTGGTACGGCGATTTGGCCACAAATGATCCCCCCCCCCCGGATATGTGCGTTCTTGTTGCGCGTACCAAATAATTTGCATGGCTGGCCGCTTCTCAAGTTCGCGTCAATGGATTTCGTTTCAAACAAAAAGCTGCTCGACGTATCAGTTTCCAATAAAAACTGCTCGCCAATCTATTCGTATAATAGCGGCTGTTGTTGTTTTGCGAATCAAACGATAGCTTTTGAAATCGTTCGCGAGATGTTCACCGTGTTTCTTTCTCTTCGTAAAAAAGGTGCTCTAAACCTATCTCGACGATCGGAGAGGAGAGAATCGATGAGAAGTTTTTTTCGTTTAATTCTTTGGCTGTTTCGTTTTTAAATGCCAGATTAAAAGTTAGAAAATTTATTTAGATATACAGATATTATCTATCTACTCTTTATACACGTATATTTTTCTTGTTTTTCAGCCAGTAGATGCGAATGATATCGAATGACTTCTTTCTTCTTCTGGCTTAATTGCGAAGAGTTTGTGTGATAACATCAAAAGTCAAGTAAGTATTGTACGTAATTTAATTACGTAGCTCGAAAATAGATGTCAAAGGATTTGCGAAATGTCGGAAAGAGAGATTTATCTCGTATGCATGTATTTAATCGTATCGTTACACGCTGTATCAGTTATTAAATACCTTTTTATATACCAAACTGCTTTTTATCAAACATCATGTTCAGGAAGAAAATAGCTCAAAAGAAGTAGAAATTTTTGTAATAGTATACTTTTACATTTATCTATTGTTCTTTTATCGATCGACGCGATAATAGATTTCATTCCACGATGGATTCCAATTGACTTTATATACATGTTTTAATAAAGAAAAATACAAACGTATACGCAACGAATTGTAACCAATTGTTTGAAGTCATCGTGGAATTGTTTTTTATCGATTTCGTTATTCGCTTTATCGAACTTTGTTTTTTGTATCGTTATCAGTATCGCCGTTGCATACGATGCAATACGCGGTTTATAATCGCGAAATACGTTAAATCGCGTATAATGTTTCATTCGATACTTTGACTCAGGCAAGATGAAACACACGTTTTTTTTTTTCCGCCGCTGTGTTCACGCATAATAGAGCTTGGGTAATTTTTCAAAAAAAAAAAAAACGCGCATCGAGCACGCTCTTTGGGAATGGGAATTCGAAGAAACGGAGGATGAAGCTCGGTTTGATCGAAAGCGGGCCGATCAGCATCGCTATTTAATTTGTGCCTATGGCTGCGCCAATAGCACGTGGAACAACAGTTCATATCGCTCTTTGACGTTATACCGAGCTCGCTCGCTCTCGATTGTCGAGCTCACCTTTGCTTCTGACATTTGAAAAGCCGGCTGGAAATCTTGGAAAATAATTCGCGCCGTGAAATCTAATTCCCATCCGCGATTTAACGATCGCCATCGTCAGGCAAACGTGTATGTATCACGCGCAACGATTATCGATACTGTATTAATATCTCGCGATTATACCGTGCCGGAATTAATAAGAAATATTTATACAACGTTAAATGGAATGTATTTTAATTAAAGGGGAAAATCATTATCGCGTTTGCCGATAGATTGAACATTTTACGTAAAATTCTACGGCTTCTTTCTCTCTCTGTTAGAGAATTTAAACCCGATAATAATAATATCACTTATCCCCCCTCCTCTCTCTCTCTCTCTCTCTCCGATTATCCGTCGTCCTTCCTTACTTTCC